AGCTCATGGTGGCTGACATCAATCTCAGCCAGCAGATTTTTTTTTGAGGAACTTTTTTCCCTGCTAAAACTTAATTGTGCATCTATAAACAAGATACTGGATTGGAACAACCCTTTGCTTGGTTTAGCTCTTTCTAGTGAGTTTAAAGTGTCTCTATTCCTTTCTCTGTTTGCAGATTAACTTTGATGTCATTGTCCTGCAGTACCATGTACATCTATTGACATTTATGACTTCTGAATTAAACTTGTTTGACAAAGAAAAGGAAACTCCTAGTGCCTCCAGCCTTGGCTGAATGCTGGAAACTGGGTGCAGCCTGGTGATCCTTTTAAAATGTGCTTTAAGGTTTTAAATTCTGCCTTTCTGACTGTGCAGCTCCCAAGACCATTTGCTTGAGAAGGAAACACAGGACTAGGTCCTAGGCATTACAATGCAAGACTACTATTTTCTTCACCCTCCTGGCTCCTTCCTTATGGTGACTCCCCTGCAGCCAGTTCCTCTCCTGCTAGTCAGTGTGCAAGGAAGCTAGGACTTTTCCTAAGCTTTAGGTCCTCCTCAATGACAAAATGAATACCCTCAAAATAACTGTTTCCTTCCTTTTTCCTCTGGCCTCTCTCCATCAATGGTAGTTTCTCCAGGGCATCCCCATTCCACAGGAGAAGACAGGCTTGCAGGCCCTCATGGATAGCCTTAAGGAAGCTCCCTGGTGCTCTGGAGCCCATGGGTGCCTGTCTGTACCCTGCTCCCTCTACAATTTGTCTTTCACCAGCACGATCAGTCCAATAAAGGCATTTGCTGGTCAGAAAATGTTTCCCCCAGTTGATACTTAGTTTCTTATTAGTTTTGACCTATAATTTTCACCATCTGAAAAATGATCAGCAAAGAGCATCTTCTTTTTTTTTTTTATCTTGGAAATGTAAAGATGCAGCCACACGCTCATTTAGCGCTTTCCTTTAAAGTTCTATTTCTTTAACAAGCTACTTTAGGATGATCTGACTGTACATGATAAGGCCATAAATTTGATGCACAGATGGTCCAATCGTCTTTGTAATTATTGTATTGCGCCATTAGGTACACAAGGGTTTCATTTGTTTAAGATATATTTTTCTTGTAATTGGAATCTGTCATGGTGCATTGGCTTGTCTGTTTGCTAGTGGACAATATATTCATGTAACAGGTTTACTGGAATAGGTTTAGCTCAGTGCAAGGGTATTTTTTGCCCCATCTTCCAATAAAGAATGAAGTCATGTGTAATATATGGTATTGTTGGCTGACCTAGTGTTGTCATAAAGATAATATGTCCATTGAGAGAAGCATTCTGCGGAAGGCTAGTGATTTGTTTGTAAAGTTTCTTATTAACATTAAATAGAGAAATAGTAATTATTTGTAAACCATTCATTTAAACCCACAATGAAACATTCCTGTTGCTTGCTTTGCACAGAAAATAGAGAAGGCTTCTGCAAAAAGATGAGAAAGTACCACTTAATCATTTGACTAAACAAAAAATAGCCATTTTTGTCCATTCCTGAGATTTAATTAAAACCCAGAGGTTGATTCCAAACCAAACCAAACCAACGCCTAATTATCACAAGTGTTAATTACAAGTCTTGCTTTAACTGAATGACTAATAGAGCAGGATGGCAAATGCCTTTCCAACAGCAAACAGATTTACTGACAAATGAGGTAGGATGCAAATTGAGGGCATCTACTAGCCTTTGAAATCCTGCTTTACCACTGCTGTGAATAATAAGTGGGAATTGTTTTAGCCCATGTTGGGGATTGTTTATCATGAAATTCTCCTCTCTGTTTGAGGCAATGAGAATGGAAAATGAAAATAGACTAAACACCTTAATCCACAAATCCTTTTGTCTCTAGTGGCACACTTTAAATACGTGGATATGGCATAAAAGCCATAAGTCAGTCTGCTGGGTGTACACTGCCAGTCAGGTACAGAAATCAAGCTGGAGGTAAAATACAGGTTTCCAATGCGAGTAATCCCGGAAGACAGACATTTATGAAGAGCTTATTGCTAGAAGTTGTTTTGGGCAGCTGTTAATGCCAAAGCAGAGCCCATCTTAGAAAGCGTAATATTCTCTTCAATCTCAGAGAAACTAAACGAATTGCAACCACAGAAATGACAAGTTTTCTAGTTTTTCATTTTGAAACCATGGAGAGAAGATTTTTTGTTTCCATGCTTTTGGTTGGCTGTGTAGGAAGGCAATTTACAGTTTTGCTTCATTCTAGGGATTCGATGTGAAAAATGACATAAAATTTCAGGTCATCTGGGAAACTTTACACTAATTTAGAGAAAGAGAGGTCCAAATTTAGAGATACACTTAAGATAGCTAAGGCATTTATTTGTAAAAGTGTGAAAGAATAAAGATGCTCAGAGATGGAAGAAGATGATTTTAGTCGGTAGTAGTTTCACACTGTCAATTGCCAGACTTGCAAATATTAATGATGTACTTAATTTTGTGTTCCTGGTAGTTGTGACAGAAGTAGGAGAACTATGAACAACCCGAAAGCTATTCACAAACATACAGTTTTTGTAAGACTGAGGATTATAGTCCAAAAGAGCCTTTTTACATCCCTAATTAGATTCATCTATGTATCTCTGTACTTATCTGTCTCTTTTTCCATTTGGTTTTGCTTTCTATTCCAGATGGTCAGAGTATATTTCAGATTCCCCCTGCTTAAGATTACAAGTTTTTCATCTAAACTACTACCTACATATTTGCATAGTTATTTTTGTTGCATAGTATTAGAAGGATTTTTGTATTTATTCTTAAAAAAATAATTTGAGGTAAACCTGATGAATTTAAAGATAATAGTGATACAGTAATACAGTGATATTTTACATTCAGATTGCTGCCTGAATTGCAGCACCTCAAAGTGTTATGCAAATATTAGTGAGCCTAATCTCAAGCTGCCCAGGAAGGGGGGATTGTTATCACCACTTTACAGACACAGAGAGTTGGAGGGCTGAATTACCCTAAATCTGTACAGTCAATCAACAAATACATGTCTATAAATGAAATGTGTTGACTCCAAGTCCACTTACTCCACATACAGGCTTTTACAGTGTCCTATTCCGTTCTGTGAAATCAGTTCCATTCTTTGCTACAATGAACTCGATGTTACGGGTCATTTTGCAGGTTTTGCTAAGAGTCAGCTAACTAAAAGTATCCACCAAAATCTGGAGAGCTTGTTTTGAAGGAAGGAAAACCAGTACTACTGACTTAGTTTGCTCTTGACAATTACCAGCAATGACATCTGATGACTCTCACCTGAAGCTTAGAACAATACAATTCTGCAAAGAACCACCCTGTGATTTGGTCCGATACTACCTAATTGCCCTTTGCTATTGAGAGAAGCAAAGCTCTAAAGCCCTTTTTGGTGCTATCTAAGCAGGAGCTTGGTGGATCTAGTGATCTAGTTGGCATTTCCTTTTCATGACAACTGTTGCCAGGAATAGTCTGATTTCTTTTTCTCTCTTTTTTTTTTTTTCTCTTTTAATCATCTGATATTAAGTTCTGAGTATTCTATGCTAAATAAACAATTTCAAGTTTTAATCTGAGTGGCACTAGCGGGAACTGGAGAGTGTTCTCTTCAATGGGCGCAGGATTGGCACATCATCCCTTAGTGTGCTAGAGCATTACATAGGCTACTTATTGGCAGCATTTTTGTACTGTTTGTATTCAGATGAGATTAAGTCACAGTATGATTTTATTCTGGCCTCTTCTAAATTGGATTAGTGCAAATCAATTGAATCTTTCTTTCAAAAAGTAATTTGTTGCAGATATCTTGCAGAATCTACTGCTGAAATGGGATCAGTTACTACAGCATTCAACAAGGTTGATCGACCATGTTGAAGTTAGTGGTATTCATTAAAAAAATCATTATTTCTGTGATTGATGAAATTCTTTTTTGAGTAAGACACCATATCTGACAGGAGTAGTCCAATGCAACACTTATTTACTGGTGATGGGTGTTCATTTTGGAAGAGCTCAGTTAGAAATCAAGTAAGCATTTGTTACATAGTTAGATTAGATAATGTAAATGTTTGCAAAATGCAAATGAAGTTGACGATAATTAGTAATGATGCTCTTCTACTTTTATTAATAAGGTAATGCTTCTGGCAATTACATTTAAATTTCATATGAAGGTTCAAAGCTCTGGAACAATTTCTTTTTGTTTAGAAGAACAGAATTCAGGGTGATCTTGCTTAGCAGTCTGTACTGTGGGCTTATTACAGGATTGGAAACTACTTGTCTTTGTTTCTCATCACTGAACCATTACCTTTTCTTGATGTATCTGATCCAGTGAAGAGTGAGAACCAGATATGATTGTGAACGATTGTGCCAGAGACTGGATAGAAAGGCTTTTATAATAACATTTTGAGATAAAAAGGCAGCCCTCTGTGTAACTTTTAGCATGTGTGAACTCATAAAGCAACATCTGACCTGGATGGAGGGAGAAAAACAAGCTGTATGATTTTTCTATCTATCTAAAGCAACCTTGCTAAGGTATACTTCTTAAATTAAGCAAACCCTTTCTGAAATGTCTAGGACTTGCTCAGGGTTGACATCTAAGCCTGTACCAGTGGTATAAGCCAGTCCAAAATCCTGGCAAAGCACCAGAAAGGGAAGAACACTGAATGTTAACAAAGGCTTCATTAATATTGATGTGTAATTCACATAGCAGTGAAAAGCTGCATTATTAGTCACTATTGTTATGGTTCTGGCATTAATATTCAATGAGAATGTGTCGGTATAGAAATTCCCTGACTTCTGGGTACCCCAGTGGTCCAATAATAATAATAAAAAATATGCTAGAGTCAATGGGAGCCTGGTGCTATCCCCATAGTAATCAAGCTCTGCTTTGTTTTATAGAGCTCAGAAGAGAATCGTATTGATATGTCTCGTGGAAGAAGGGTAACCATACTTTCTTCTACCTCTGGAAATTCCTGTATCTAGAGATGAAGGTAGCACCCCTCCTGTATAGCTCCATGCTGAATCTCTGTTGAGAAGACCTGCCATAGGAGGTAATTTCATACCTGGTTATCTGCAAACCACCCTGTACGATTTTTTTTTTCCCTTATGACATCATTAATGTACTATCATATCAAATTAAGAGCAGTCTTTGTTTCAACCTCAATTAAAAAGAAGTTGAATTTCTGAAGATGTGCACTGGTAGAAGACCTCATTCACAATAAGCTTTCTCAAATGAGTTGGCTATCTGAATACTTGAACAGGGAGTCATTTGACCATTTATATTATAAATGAGATTCTGTGATGCAGGTTTTGTGCACATGTGTAGGCATGGTCTATTGAGATGCACAGGATATAACAAACTTCATCTATGGAAGTAATTGCATTGACCTTGGTAAGACTACTGCAATAAAGACAAGTATGTACATGAAGTCCTTGCAGGATGAAGGTCTCAGTGTGTAATGTACAGGTTCCGTTTTTTGAAGACTTAACAGAAGTCGAATTCTCATTGTATTTTCTGTTCCATTCTCATCACCAAGTATAGATTTTTTTTTTTTAAACTAACAGCTCCAGGCATCTTGAAAAGCCTAATGTCCAGGAATAAACTATAAATTGTCTGGCCTTTCAAAGAAATCACCAGGTACATAGGCCTTAGAGCATGCTACAAATAGGCACGTCATCCTTGTAATTAGTTTTCCCTAATTATCATTGGTAGCTACTGAAATTAAATATACCCTTATTTCAACAGGTTACCGGGATGAAGATTTCTTTACTCGTCCTTGTGACAGTGTCTAATGAAAAAGCAGATAGGCTGCCACACCACTTAATGTCACCTTTTGGAAACTAAAATGCCAAGCTTGGTACAGTGAATCCCAAACTGCAAAACAAACCTCTGCTGACACTGTCACAGAAACAGATTGAGACTATATCATAATGTGCCTGTTGCCTCCTATGCAAATGCCATGGTGCTGGCAGATTTAGATTTCCCCTTTCATTCTACTCAAAGAAGTTTGTCTCAGATTGTGATTATGTTTCCCTGCTAGGGTCATTCATGTAGGGCAACCCTGAAGGACTCCTCTCTTTTTTTATTGTCTAAGGATTATACAGTTTTAGGATCAATCACTTATATTCCTTCTATCTACTCCCAACTATGTGATACTAACAAAAATTGGGACACAGGCAAAGCAGAATGAGAAATGTCAGTCTTTTGAGATGATTTACTGTCACATTGGTACTTCCATGAAAGTATTACTACATGGATTGCCACATGGACACTCTATGCTGAGATACCTGGGCTAACCCAGCGTTCTCTGGTGGTCCCTTTTGCTGCTCAGCCAGATTCAGAGATGATTCAGCAGCTGGGAGAAGAGTTGGGAAGCATTATCACATGTATTTAGAAAAGTTTTTGTCAGAGTTTCCAAGCTATTCATAATTCATGTTGACTAACAGTTATTTGTACTGTGCCACCAGCTGCTAGCTTTATAGTAGCATCATTAGCCCACTACAAGGAAATGACAATGAACACCAAATGCAGCTGGGACATTAGCACAGCAACATAATGCATAGAAAGAGACTGAGGATATTTGGAGCACTTACTCCAGGATATCCTAAACAATTAATGGCATCCTGAAGAGTCTTATTCTACCCTTGACTATTAAAACGCTTAAGCCTTGTTCTGAGAAGACAATACATATTTCTTCTCATCCTCAAGGCACTCTATAGGCATTCTGTATTTATCTTTCTTACCCTGCATCTCAGTTGTTGCTTGCATTTCTTCTATAACAAGCTTTTTGTCTTTTGTTTCATCTTATATTGACTGTTGGATCTTCTCATGTGGGCCTTGGTCATTTGGAAGACTTATCCCATCTGTATTGGTGCCTCCCCATCTGCATATAAACATAGGTGTCTGTCCAGCTCTATGGTTATCCTATCTGTAGTTTATATATTACTGCACTTATATTCTCATTTGAGGTGTTTTTTTTTTTTAAGATTTTTTTCTTATGTTATAAGGGATGCTCTGTGAGAGCATATGTTAATGACTGGGTACTGGTGGTCCTTAGTACTTTGCTCTGAAATGAATGCTACTCTTCCTGGTAGTTTGTGAAAAATCTATCTAATGATAAGTCTATTTATCTTGCTGCATTCCCAGCTGAGAGTCTCAATGCTCTCTTTTAATCAGAGTTTAAAGTGAGTGACATGCAATCAGAGAAGGTTTTCAGGGAACAGAAAGATGCTTGTCATTTCCCTTGTTCACTTAAAATGGTCTCATTTTTTTTCACGAAATAACTATGGCACTCACAAAAGTAAGGAGGAACCTAACAGGCACACACAGCCAGGCTGACTAATGCAGTGTAGGACATTTTGCTGAAACAAATTTGCAGTATTTCTCTATAATAGTAGATTAATTCCAACTTGGTGGAGTCACCTGACACTCGGGCTGATGTGAGCTCAGCGCTATCCATATGTTCTTTTGTTCCTGATAATTAGAAGATTAATAGCATTTTACAAGGCAATGGCTGATGCTCTTGCCATTGCATGGTAGCAGCCTGGTGTTTAAGTCCGTCAAGGATTCAGTGCAGGCAAGCGGCTGTGTATTAATCCCCTTGTATTTGAACTGTGGAAGGAATGTGATCTCCATGAGGGAAAGAAAATATCTCAGCACTACCAGGGCGAAGTAACCAACCTTCAGAGTCTGCCCAAGAACTGCGTACCTAAATTCTCCAGAGCCTGAGAGCCACAAAACATGCCACAGAAGACAAGATTGGAAGGGGAAGCCTGGAAGTTTGCAATGACTAGACTGGAGTCCAACTTCCACACTGGGAAGTTTTCTAATGCTTTGTGGTGGCTGAGGAGCAATGTGGTGATATCAGACTTCACAGTCCCTGAGCTTTTTTCATCCCAAAGGGATGCAGGTTACCGCAAAATCTATATAGTGGTTCAGCTGCGCATACATGTCCTTAGCATGGAAGCTTTTTGGGACTTGTTTGATAGCCTCAGCTTGCTACAGGTGCTTTTCTTTGATGCCCCCCTGTCTGTGAGGCTTTGCAGTGGTTTCTGGAGATAAAAATGGACAACAAAACAAGAGCAAAGGCAAATTTGCAGGAGAAAGCCCAGTGTCTGTCATCTGGAGGGTGTACTCACCAAATATGTCTTGGCTACCATGTCAGGCATCTCCGAGATTTTTAAAGGTACCGTGCACAGTAAGGAACATCACAGCAATTTCATGTACCACACGAACTGGGGCCTGGATTTATGACAGCAAATGTTATGTTGGGCTTTCTTCACGACTTTGTTTAGCTGTGTTTCCTGAATACTGTATAATTTCAGTCTATGCAACCCATTTTCCCTATCAACCAAGCTGTAGATGTGTACGATGGCATGTTACTAAAAATCACACTTAATCCTTCCAGTATTTCCCAGTGAACCTGTATATTAATTCAGATTGGACCTCCTACTGGTTTAATTCTGTAAGCTGAGTAAAACACATTCTGAATACGTGATTTATTACAAAAGATATGTACCCAAGATGTTGTTAAGCTAATCGGTATTATTTTTCACTTGACATACTGCCTTTATATGTGTGATAAGACTTTATATCATCTGCTCTATTTGCTAGAGCTCTAAAAATATATAGATGAGCTACAAAATATCCTAGGAATTGTTTTATCATTTTAAACTTTAAAAAAAAAAAATCTGGTTAACTTTGCATTTTTATTGACATCCTAACATGAATGTGAGGATCTAATAAGAAACAAAAAGTAGTTTACTTAGAATTAATATTTCTCTTTCAGATGCCTGGGCACTTAAATTGTTTGAATGATCATATTTTCCTCTGGGGCTGGGGGAGTGGGAAAAGTCAAACATGTAGTTGCCGATTTCTTTGTAAAAAGGCAAAACAGCCCTTTGGACCTGTGATGGACCATGTGACTTAGGAACATAAGATACCATTGAAAATCCATCAAACTTGGTTGGTATTCAAAAGGTAGTGTTTCCCAGGTGAGGTTTCCAAAGGTTTTAAGAGGGCTCAGGTGGCATTTGTGTCATTCTAACTTTTCTGCTTATAGACCTGCAACTTTGTTGGGACATCTCACAACAGGCATTTTTGAGGGGGAAGTCTGCTCAGTAAACTCTGTGAAAATTCTGCTTGTACTAGTGCTAGCAAGAAGAAAAGATCACAGATGATCCAGGTAAGACCCCTTCAGCAAGGCAAAACCAGACTTATATATGTCTACATGCCCTGCATGAACTTCTGTGAATATCTGCAATATTTTCTTCCCCAACAAAATTCATCTGTATCTGTCTTACCAATACTTCAGCTCCCTCAACCATTTATCTCCTCACTCCCCTTTATGTAGAAAGGTGCCTTTTCATTTTCTTAACTGCAGGAGTTGAATTAGAAAAATACTGAGCATTAAACCTAGAGTTCATCAGTTGTAAGGCAGTGCCTCATCTTCAAGATGCCCATTCTCTTGCAAGACAAATGAATGAGTCAATAAATAGAGCGCTTCTGCATGAATTTCTGCAAGAATTCGGGACGATATGTTGTTACGCTGTGAGTTTGTACTATGCAACTGGCTCTATAAAAGTGTATATATATAAAAAAAAAGTGTGCCAATCTGACAGATACATATCACAGATTTTCTAAACTCAGTGTGGCTTTCTGCCTTCAGATAGAAGAAATGTGGATGTGCAGGAGGATAAAGGACCATGATGGACAGAAATGAAAGTGTATTTGAATTGCAGGAACTGAAATGCCCATAGCAGCAGTTCAAAAATCACAAGACAGAGTGGAAATAAAGTGGCAAGTTTCTAGCAGTAGATAGATTTTATGACAAAGATGCAAAGCATTTCTGTGTTTAACTATGCTTACAATTAATCAACTTTTAATTCTGTTCATTAAGCTTCATTATTTATGAAGCAGTGTATTATAGTCACAAAGGAGCAGATTTGATTAAAATTTGAAGTGGAGCAATTCAGAAATAGTACTGCCACCCAGCAGAACTAAGCCAGATTCCCACATCGAGGGTTCTGCCACATTAAATCTAATGGAGCT